CTAAATTGTATAAAATTTACATAGAATCGCACTATTAACACCTTATATTGCAGAAGTGTGTGCTGGGTGTCTATAAATTTCTAAAAATAGTTTCAAAACTACAACTTCATAAGGCACATAACGGTTTGCCATTTCGCGATTTTTTTTAACTGGGTCACACCTACTTTATTTTCCTTCAGCTTTTTCTTTAATTTCACGCAGTGCGCTAAAAGGCGATACTTCTTATAATTCCGCTTGGTATTTGCCTTTTTCATATACATATGTACATATGTATATATTTAAAGCTTTTATGTGGGTATGCCATTTAATAGTATCGCTAAGAACACATATGCTATGTGAATTTTGCCAATTTGTTAAATCGCGAAATTAGCTCCGGAAATTTAAATTCAAATATAACTGTGAATGTACGCGTATCTTTATACACATTAGTAGATAACTCGTCTTTTTATATAGACACACATATGCACACTATGTAACTATCGAAGCGTGCCTAAATACACGCCACGTTTTTTATCTCAATCGGTTCAATGGCCAAAAATTACTTTGCCAATTTACGGTTATTTGCTACACAGCACATTTTCAATTAGTTTGCCACACAGTCGTAGCAATTTATCTTTATCTTTATAGAAGCACATAGTACAAAGATACATGCAGATATGTGGGTACAGGTAGTATATGTACTCATAACTAAATTAAGCATACTCATATGTGAATACCTTTATGTAAGACTCTTATCATATTTACTACATCAGTTTGATAATGTGATTAAATAGTCAATATTAGCTTATTTTACCGTTAGTAAGCATGACTAAATTTATGCGATTTGTATTTTTAGTGATTCATATTTTGTAAACTTTTAGTTAGTGAAAACATTAACGAGATAACGTTAGTGACGTACAAAAATTGCGATTATTGTACAAAGTTATGGGCTAAGTGACGAAGACGGCAGCAAAAGGCAGTGATTTTATTTTTGTTTATATCTGTATGATCATTAGATAATTTTTTTGCAAACGTCACTGAAATAAAGTGACGCAATGCCGTAAATACCAATGAGACATTGGAGAGCGAAATTGAAACATACAACAAATAGATCGGTCAATACAAAAGCAAAAAACTTCAATATAAACTGTTCGAGTTTTGGCAAAAAATTAGAGAGTAGCGAAACGAACAAACTATAAAAGCTGCTCAAACAGATTGGCAATATTTGCGAAGCAACCTTGCGCTAGTATGGCCTCAGGAGTATTCGCAATTCTGTTACGCTTGTTCTTTTTTTCACTCCAAAAAATGTTGATTAACTATTGAGTTCAAGTGGCATACATGCCTTAGATTTTCTATAAGCAATTATGTTTTATTTGAAGTCTTAAGCTTTTAAAATCAATTTAAAAATATATATATACTTGTATATACAATTGTCATTTTTCTTTTCATATTCCATTCACAATAGTGAAACTGTAAAACTGGTCTAAAAGCTGCAGAACAAAACTTGGTAGAAATGAAAATAAGCTTTTGTACTATATTTATGAGATATTCGCATACCCTCTTGCGCTCTAAATTTTGCTAATGTTTCCTCATGTAAACTTTTGAATAAGAGAGCAGTAATCAAAGGTAGCCAGCAAAGAAATGGCGAAACGAAGATGGCTATACTCTAGTTAAGCACTAATACAGCCGATTCTAGTCTACTAGTGTGATCTTAACCTAACAGCGGACAGTTGGGAATAATTTCAGCTCTCGTAAGCTTTCGTTGCCACAACAGCATAGTGAACGGTCCCAGATTTTTATCCCACCAAGGACTGTCAACTTGACAGCTTTCTTTAAAACTATTTCAACAATGTTTTCTGCCGCTACAACAACAACAAAGATAATTATGAAAAATAATAAACGGAAAATAAAGTCTCTACACAAAATTATGAAAAACTATCCTTAAAATTTGTTTTCAAAAATTTACGTTAGGTTCACAAAATCGGTTAGCTCTCATTTTAAAAAACTCTTTATTATTTTTTATTAATATATATATAAGCGGCCGTATTCTCTTGAAGTTTATATATATATCAAAAATGTAAGGATTAAAGTTTTTATTGAGTAAATAAAATTTTTTGCAAACTTCCTACCCATTCGAGGTTCATCACTGCAAATTCTTCATTACTTGAAGAATTTAAAGAAAAAACCAGAGATGAGAATAAGTATTAGTGCCAAATAATTTTGTGAAACCATTTCACAAAGCTAATACAAGCGTATAACGGTTTATTCCTGGCATATGTCACGCCTTCGTAAAATATACTAGATCTTATTTGCAGTAACTTTAACTTTTCGAAAATAATAATCTCGCAGTTTGGGCGCTATAAAACACATCACAAGCGGTTTAGCTAACGTTTACCACTATAAATCAATAACTTCCTACACAAAATTACTATAAATCGTAAATAATTGCATATGCATACATACATACATATATGCACAGACATCTTCAAGCCTTCGCAGACAATTTATCGCCCGAAACCAGGTGTGTCGTTTGCCGCCATTAGCATTAACATTTACCACCGACACTTTTTCGTCTTCAGCCAATTTGTGGCCAATTGTTTGGTATTGCATAAAACCGCCGACAATCGCTACCAACTAACTGTATCTGTATGTAGTTATATATGTGTGTTTTTACCGCAACGGCTGGCTGACTAATTGACTAAGTGACTGGCAAATCGCACAGCTGACTAACAATCTAAAATGCGCCGCGCTGCACGCTCTTCCTGCAACATTGACTAGTTGACGATCTAACAGTCATCTGAATTGACTGCTATTAACACTACTTTCAAGTTTTTTTCTTTCACGCAAACCTCTTTGGCGTTTCCTTCATCTAGCCGTCACGTCATACGATCGTCCTAACCCAACTGCGCACACTCGTGTGCACAACATTATTACGAGTAATATCATAGCACAAAGCTATGCATGCACAAGCGGCCGTATTCTCTTATTGCCACTATTGTTTATAGGTAGTTTTGCGGCTAACTGCCTACGCGACAGCCAAGTTGGCAGCCTGCACCCCTACATACTGCATACACAGATAGGTGCCTGTCTTTCTTCGACTAACTTGTCAGCTGCTGCTGCGGCTGCTCTTAAAGTGGCTTTAGTTGCTATTGTAAATCGGAATAGTGTGCAATATTATTGAGCAATACAAGCAGCATGCGCATGCACATAAGTCTCAAATATATGCATATATGCTTCTGCTGCTATACAATCGTCCAATCATCAGTTCCTCCATCCATCCACTATATCCAACCATCCATCCATCCATGCTTCGACGGTTGCCTGATTGGTTGCGTATCTTCTCGATCTGACTGCTGTTGCTGTTGCTGTTGTAAACTCAGCCTACATACGAATAACATTTGTGCATATGCTCGTATTGTTGTTGTTACCGGTACTGCATATCGTATGTTTTTGCTTGCTCCTCACTTCTTTCTTTGTTGCACTGATTTTCCATTTAATTTTTGCTTTTCGCCTCTTATTTCAGCCTGATTGCCTGATTTCGATGTGTATCGAGTAAACATGTTTGTTCGTTCCCTTTAATATTGTGGCAAATTGTTTGTCATCTGCTTCGTTTTACTTTGTCGTTTTCACAGGCTTACTCTCCATTTCATATAGGGCTCCTATCTTTAACGTTGTCTTGCCGCCCATGAAAATGTCATATTCGCATTATTATTAACGTTTTTTTGTAAGTTCTGGTCGTATTATCATAAACTGGTTAAAATTATTGAACTGCAACATGTTTAGCTTGTTTGTAATACTTAAATGCTGCTGAGAATCTTTTAAAATAAACACGTCTGGTCTTCCCAACCTTGAAACTTAACTAAATGGAAGAATGAAGTTTTAAGTGTAATATGAGCATATTTCAGCACTTCGAACATTGACCTACACATATTCTTAGAGTATTGGCCGATGATATTTTTAATCACAAAGATGGTGGTTAATGTGATAAAGTGGGTAGGCGACTAGACGCCTGATATTCGTTATATTTACTATAAAATCGACACTAATTTAGAAATATTCTAAAATCCTGGAATGAAATTAAAAGATCAAAAAACTTATCAAATTATACAAATAATCTTATCAATCTTATTTAGAATTAAATCAGATCTCATAGAATAAATTTCGTTCACAGGTTCTTAATTTTTACTTGAGTAAGTTCCGTTTCTTCAAAAATTTTAAATTTTACCCAAATAAAATTTAAAGCTATGAATTCTTAACGTTACTAACTCTGTTCTTTCCCTGTGCTTTACAAAACACAGACAAATTAAAAACAGCTTAAAATTTCGCCTAAATTAGAAAAACTCTGATCACAACAGATATTCAAAATCGAGCGAGAACTATGATTTCATTCGACAATTGGAGAAAACTTAAAAATTTTAGGCGCTTCAAACTGTTAAAACATTTTTTTGAAATCTTATTCCTGGCAGAAAAGTGCTCAAATATCTACCAAACAGCATGACTATCAGAAAATATTTATTTTTTATTTTTTTATTGGTTCAAAAATGAGAACGAAGCCTATTTTATCCGTATATGTTTTTCGTAAATCTGCCAAAAAACATGATTATCAGAAAAATAATTTTGTTTTTTATTGGTCCAAAAACAAGATCGAAGCTTATATTAACCTTAAATGTTATGCAACTAAACGAACAACATAACCTTACATATAATGGAAGTCTCAAGATCTGTGTAAAACTCTACTAAAGCACGAAATAGGACCTGGATTAACTAACGCAATCTAACCACAATATAAGCTGATCTAAATCGATTTATAGTCTACCGAAGTCTAACTTACTTACTGCTTTGGGATATAGTATAAAGAACTAGGTTTCTGTGTTAGTTGGGTTGATCCTTAGTCTGAAGCAATATTTATAAAAACTTAAACAAAAAAATAAATAAATATATAAAACATTTTTTACAATAAATATATTATTATATTTTTTTATATATTTTTGTAAAAACAATCAAATTACTCTCACACTCACCTTTTAAAAATCCTCTATTAAGCTTCTTGTCTTCGTTAGTTTATATTTTAACGATTAATAATAATTGCAGCACTTCGAAAACATTTTATATGCAAACAATTTTATAATCTTCTAGAGCATATAGAAGAAGATTCTCGATATAACAACTAATTAATTTATTTAACACTTAGTAATTCGTATTAGTTCGTTCTTTCATGAGAAATTCTTTACCTTTAAATTTAGTGCTGCACTTTTAATTCACAGCAAGTAAGCTCACAAGAAAATGTTCTCAAGATTTCAAATTTTCGCACGAAACTTTTTTATGTCTTTGCAGCGAAAAAAGTTTTTTTTATTAATAATAAATAATTTTTATGCGATTTTAATTATGGGTACATTCCATTTTTTGCACAATTTTTTTCATGTTCACGAATTTTTAATATCCGGATTTAAGAAAACACGCCACTCTTTGGCAACGCCAACAACAAATAACAAAATAAATAATTATCCGCATGCCAAAAACGCGATGTCGTATTCGGTTATAAGTTCATAAGTAGAAGTAGTTAATAATGTGTAGAAACGTTAATAAACTTAGCAAATGTTCGGCGCGCCGATTGACCGGTTTCTTTTATTCTTTTTAAACTGTTCGAATGAATGAAAAATTAACGCACATAGCTCAGAGCAAAAAAAATATAATTTTAGCTTACAATTTATTTACTCCGTTCGTTTTATGAGTTGTTTTTTCCACACCGATTCTTTAATGTTTAAACAAGCTTCACTCAAACAAATTCACACACAACCGTTTGGCAGTTGAAAAAGGCAGTCCAGAATTACATACTCGTATTAGTATTAATTTCTAATTATTTAAAAAAATTCGCACACAATTTATAAAAACTAAATAGTTTTAAAATGTTCGCATTTAATTTATTATTTCAATTAATTTTTTTTTGCGCTCCAGTAAAACGTCGTATGTTAATAAAAGCTCGTAATATGTAAACAAAAATATTTGTATACCGACAAGAAAGCACGCGCTTCAACCGATCGCCAACGAGACTACGTCACACAAACGAAAGAGTCAAAACGAGACTGAATTCAGCGCTTTGCAAAACTTTACAACTCACTCTGTGGTCGTGATCACTGGCTGCTGATGGAGTGTGTTGTTGGCATACATACTGTGTTAGCGAATGTGGAGCCAGAGTGAAGACGCGAGCGCCATAGCTGGGATCTGTTGAGATGTAATAGGAGAGCATTATGGATGCTAGTAAATAAGTGAAAAATTAAGAAAAACGATAAATTTATGCCATTAACTAAATTTATTCGAAATATTTCATAAAATTTAATTATAATTATAAGGAATTAATTTTTAAGGTATTCAAATATATTTTTATGAATTTGACGTTTAGAAAATTCTCAAAAAAACTATACAGAAGTTAAACATAATTATTTAATTACTTGCAACGTTCGGAGCTCAGAAGTTCGGCTATAATAATAGAGACCACGAGGATATATGAAAGAAAACTTTCAACTCTTTTGAAGTAGATTCGTCTGACTAATTCAAAAGTGGTGAATTTTTTTCAGATGTATCCGTAGTCTTTATTATTAGTCCGAAAATGTGCCTCTAAATAAAAGTTGATCGCGAAAAAGTAAGAATTTGTGATACAATTTATTGAACAAATATCAGTAAATAAATGTTTTTCAAAAAGTAGTTTTATACCAGAATGTTTTATAATAGAAGCACGGTTTGGCATTGTTATACATTTGGAAAAAGTTATCCTTTTTGAGATCTTATTAACCTTACTCATTAAAAAGTAGAATAAAATAGAATTTAATAATCGAGGTTTGCACTGCAACCTAATTCCAGGAACTGGCTGGGCGCTATTGAGGTGATGTGTTCCCTATCCTATTATATAATATATAGATCCAAGGGCCTTAAACCTACATCTACAGATTGCTGTGCAATCTAGAATCAGGTGCTCAGAAGTTTTCGGCTGCAGTCATTGCAAATTACTCTATTTTAGGATTTTAAGTCACGTTATGTTTATTTTTTGTATTTTATTTTATGGTACAAATGAAATACGTCCCTAAACAAGAAATCTCAAACACTAATCTTTTACCAAATAATAAGCGAACGAAGAGTAAACAGCAGCCGCTGAGTGGTGTTCAAAACAAAAGTTGTAAATGTGGTAGTTTGGAGTATGTAAACACCTGAACCGGTTGTTCACATACATTGGAGCCCTACTGGAGTAAAAATTGTTGCAAAATTTTGCACATACAAGCAACAAGCTCTTTTAGCTATATCTCACATATTCGCGCTCTAACTCTCTCTCTCAGCGCATTAGTAGCACTGTGAGATCACTCACTGGAGGTCTTCGCTCACGGGTGGACAAACAAATCCCACCCCCACTAACACTGTGTGCTGGCTTTTGTTTTTATTTGACTGTCCCCTGTCTATCTAACTGCAAAGTGGTTCTGCCAAACTTATAAATGCCGTTTGCGCTTACATTTGTTTGTATGTATGTGTGTAGGTATGTAAGCTTATAGTAGTGGAGGCAAAACCGCATAGCAATACTACTCACTAAGTAAATGAAGTTTAATTAAAGTGTGGCAGCGTTTGTGTGTATTGAGTTTGTTAGACGTTGAGGTCGTTCGTAGACACTAAAGCGAGAACATAAAATCAAAATAAAATTTGAAATCAAAACAACAACGCTAAATACGTCAAACTGGAGTGTTTTTAGTGGTTTGTTTTGGCTCTTGATATTGTTTTGTGGTGTTTTGTTTTGCTTTTAATTCTTTCACAATACGTTTGCTGCTTGCTCTCTTGGTTGGCTGTGTGTCTCCAACAACTCATTGCATCTAAAAGCCCCACGCATTTTACGAGTATTTTTCTAACGATTTTCTAACACGACATCAGAAATGGAGGATCGTGGAAAAAGCAATAACAAAAATCCACACATAGCAACGTACGTACGTGTATCAAGCGGTTATCCGTTGCAGCATGGAGTGAACTGTTGAACTCCGGTGGTTCTTAATACTTTTTATTTGTTTTTTATTTTCTATTTGTTTACTTTTCTGCATTGTGAATGCAGTTATCGAACGTGGGCAACAATATAATTAATTTGCTGCCTTTAAATGCTGCTGCCAATAACGAGGCTCGCCTAGCCCAGCTGCAAGTAAGCAACCTTTGTTCAAACTAGTTTTGCTTGGAGTCAATTTTCTATCTTTCTTTTCAAATTTTCTCATTTTTTTATTACTCTGTTGACAAAGACAATTGTGGGCTGTTGCTCTTATCAAAAATATTATATATTTGTGCATTCATTACTGCACCATGCAAGTATGTATGTATGTACATATGTTTGTTTGTAATAATAATTTTTGAGCAGCAATTTCTCATGGAAATTTATTTGCTGAATCAGCTTTACACCTGGAATACTCTACAAAAAAAAAAAAAAATTTTCTGAAGATATACATACATACATATATTTCAGTATTATACTTTTCTATTTCCACTAAAATGTTGTATTTATCTAATCGGTGGCATACTAAAGATTCTAGATTATTTCCCCCTATGATTGCCATAACTTATTTGCATATCACTTTTAAAAGTAGGAAAATTTCACTTCTTTTTATAGAATTACTTGTCAAAATCATCATAAAAGTCTCCCTACATAATACGTTCTTTCTCAGTAAATAAACAAATATACGTCACTTACGCTTGGGGGTCTCAGACCATGACAAAGTCATATATTTTCTTCTATCTCTCATTTTTATAACTTTTTATTGTCACTACAATAAAAGAAGTTAATACTTTGCTTAGATAAACTTAGTTTTTATGCCTTGTGAACATACCCATTCTAGATTAAGAGGTGATTATAAGCAAACTAACGAACTTTAATAGAACTGTTACTCATTTACACTCTCGATTTAATTTTTTAAAACTATTATAAGTAATTGGATACCGCCTAATAATAAATAATTAAATGTCTACTTTACTTAATGGTATTCGCTTGACCGATATTGGAATGACAGTACGCAAATGGATGATAATCACCAAGCAGACATTTTGTCTTACTATAAAACTATGTTTCTATATAATTCTTCGACGTTATAGGCGTTCTAAGACACTAATATGAAAAAAAAACTCATCTTACAATATTTATGTAAAAAAAATGTTGCAAAGCTGTGCAGAAAACAACTGCAAATCTTAACAAAAATAAAATATTTTCGTATTTTAGAATTTATTTTTGAAAAAATCGTTAGTGGTTTTTCAAAAATTGTGTTTATAGTTTACATTTTTTTAAGATATAAGGCGAGCCTAAGATACTCAAAACTCGAAATTTTTTGTCATAACGTGCACTTTAAGTACTTAAGATTGAATAATATTTCAATTTGTAAAAGAGTGAACAAGAATTTGGTTCCTAGTACAAGTGTCGAAGTGTTCGGATCCGCATATTTCAGCAAGCACAACTTTGAACTCTTGATTCTCAAAACCTCAACATTTAACCTTTTTTACGAATGCGTAATTTTAAGAAAAATTAGTAAATATAGTTCCGAAACCTGCATACTTTACTAGTAATTCTTTCGTAGGTTATGTTACCGTTTTATATTTTGTTTTGGATGCCTCGTGTTTATAGAAAAACAGTCGACCGTAGCAGGCCGCTTGGAAAAGACAGTTTCTAAGATTGGTTCGGTAGCCGGCTGTTGTACCAAAATTTCAGCAGAAAATATTCGAGCTTCAAGCACATCAATAAGTATGAACATGTCTCTGTCACTTGTAGGCTTTAAAATCCATTATTAATGGTAATTAACGCTGAAGCTCAATTTTTTTAAAGAAATACATATTTATGTATTTAAAGCGAGGGCAGTTTTTTTTCTATACATAAAGCTAAAGAACAACTTCATTTCACTACCTATAAGTTTAACTAAGTCTACAATTATTTGTCCAAATGTCGGTATGCTTTTAAGAAGTAAAATGTGTGGGTACATAATATATGGTATCAAACCACCCACATAACAACATTTTGAACCGATAAATAACGTGCTTTTAAGGCGATTAACGAGAACAATTCATTAATTCATATATATGGTAAATACCTTGAGGTCAACTTAAGTGATAGGCAAATCATTAGAGATAATTTAAAGCGCGAATTGCTTTGAAGTGATTAGAGTAAAATGAATGGAAACCAAATTGAATTCTATGTGGGCTTATTTGTATGTGTAAGTATGTTAATATATGTAACTGTATGACAATTAACAAAGACACCCACTTTGTTAAGTTTATTTATATTTTATTTTGATTTTTTGATTTTTTACTTTTTATCTACAAACACTGCAAACATTGAAGTTGCGACTGCAGCTACGACTGCAAGTGGGTGTTCCCTTGAAAGCAGCAGAAATAGGTTTATTTATATGCATATAAATGTATGATTATTCGATTATATTCATTTACACCGCATGGCACATCTCCATTACGCAGAAAGTGCAACCATGGCAATATATACACACACATATGTATATGTTAGGCTGCTAAGCGTAGTGCATTAAAAAAGCCACACCCTAAGCCTATAAGAGCACAAAAAAGCAGAGCAAGAAATGTGGGTAGTGGAAAGGATCTTTGTAGACCTCACTCAAGGTTTCTAAAAGGATAAAAAAGTATATGTACATACATACATACATGTGTATAACTGCAGTTTTATTAAAGCTTGCCACGAACCACAACATGACAACCCATAATCAGCATGTACGAAATAAGAAGGCAGTAATAACAGTAGCACAGCAAAACAAAAAAAATTGCACGCAGCAGAATTGAAAAAGACAGCGAGAGGAGTGAAAAACTGAAACGACAATTCATCCTGAGGGCCCAAAGTGTTGCGACGATTGAAACATGAGCCAGCACGCTGCACAACATCAATCGGGCTGCCACAGCCGAGCGACAAAAATAAAACAAAATCAACCAAAACGACCAACAATAAACACAAATGCAATGCTAAGAAAAACACAAACTACAGACAGAGCTCAATTGCAGAGTAACAACAGCGTAAAGAATCGACTTGGCAAAAATGGCAAAGGAAATCAGGCAATGATTATGTTTATAAAGCCACAAGCAGAGACGACTCAGCAACATTGCGCATGCAATAAGTCTCTCTATAGACATATGTACGTAATGTTGTATAAAAGAATTGAATTTCATGAATAAATGCTACAACAACAACAACAGAAAACTTGGAC